TGATGCAGACGCACAAAGAGACGTCAAATCACAAAGAGCAGCCCAACAAACACGAGAACACACAACGACATGCAGGAATATACAAAATTACAGCAAAGACGCACAAAAACTGTGAGAGCTGCATGTGCAGTGACACAACAGAGAATCTGGAGCTTCTTGGTGGTGTGAAGCATCGGTGCACGCACACAGGTGAAGTCTTTGTGTGGAAGCGCAGCGACCAGAGCGTGTTTGCAGCCTGGGGCGTCTCTCTGAGCTGCCTGCTCCTAATTGGACCTAATCATCTGCTCAGAGCGTAAAACTGGCGTCTGTGTGGTTCAGGCACGGACCAGAAATCAAACACGTCCTCTGCATTATTCATCACTCGCTGCCTTCAAACTAACCCCCCTCTCTGTGTCTTTCCAGAGTTTCTTTGAGGGACAGTCCGCTCCCTGGGATTCGGCCAAGAAGGACGAGAACCGCATGAAGAATCGCTACGGCAACATCATTGCTTGTACGTACCCGTGCACGTCACCTGCGTCCCGTAGTGGGCCGTCATAGAGGCTGATTTCAGCTGTTTGTGTCCACGGACAGTTAATAGCATGAGACGGGGAACGCTGACCTCAGGTGTTGGTCTGACATGAGTTATGGGCGTCTCGCTGCAGGATTGTCATACCTGCACAGCAGCACGGGGTCAGGAGGAGGAGGCTTTGGTTCCCAGACAGCTTCCTTTTATCAAGCTCAGAGTGACCTGAGAGAGCTCGTCACACTGGCGGTAAAAACTGACGCCATCCTGCGCTCGTGTCATCAAAATGGCAGCAGCACGGTTACAAAAGCTATATAGATATAAAGATATGGAGACAGAGTCCCAGAACTTGTCCCGGGACTGTGTTTCCAAGTCTTCCCTTTGGTCTCTGTCTTGGACTTGATGTAGGACTTGTTGGTCCCCTTAGATCCTGGATTGGCTCTGTACTCGAACTTTCCAGGAGCTGATAGTCCTCTTTAAATTCCCAAACAGTCCTTGGTCAGCAGTCAGTGCAGTTCAGCAGAGCCTCTTTTACTTTTCCATCATGGCTACGATTCGTGTCACCGACTCTGCGCTGTGTGATTGCTGCTGCTTTGACCTCCTGAGGTCCAGACTGATGTCTCAGTTTGAGCCCAGCCCTGAGTCCAGCTGTGACTCGTTCCCACAGCTGGACTCAGAGTGAACTGATCTTGTTTGGTCCTGGTGTCAAAACTTTTCTTTGAAGCTTTCGGCTTTCAGACCAATCACAGGAAGTTACAGAGAAACCAGACGCTAATCAGTCAGGTGGCATAAAACGATGTCAGAGAGAAAACCTGCAGTTTCAGACAAGCTGTGTGTGTGTGTGTGTGTGTG